TTTGACTTAGAGCACTCCATCCTGCCCCTTTATAGAGCTGTCATGCTGCTTTCTGTCACAGAGCTAAAGCATTTTTGCTTGATTCAGCACACTCCTAATTATCCTGTTCTGTAGCTATGCAGATGATTAGTCTCCACTAAAATAGAGCTGTAGGTGGAGTTATCTGAGGTGACAATCCTGTGATGTACTTGCTGGGCTTCAGCACTGAAAGGGACAATGGAGGCAAACAAGATACAGTGGTAGTATTATCAAAACTGTATTTCCCTCCTTTTTTCCCAGAGGATGGAAATCAAGCAGCTATAGCCAATTCTACACATACATTCATGCATACATGCACACAGTTAAATAACTATAATTCCCCCCTCCCCTGCCTTGTTTTTTGCATAAAAGAGCAATCACAAATGTTATTTTATTTTAAGTCAAAGAAGATATCATGATCCAGATCCAGTCCCTTCTGTGATAAACATAAAGGTACCATGGTTTTAACACATGAAAACCCATTCAAGACAATGCAATCCATTGTAACAACATTTAACATTTAAAGCTTCAGACTATTACATTTATTAAAAATGTTTCTGTAGAAAAACAATACTGAATGATACCTAACAGTCTAAGAGTACAGATCATCAAAACTTTGAACAGTAATTTTGCAAAATAGACCATAATTCACATGTCAGAATAATTCCATAATGGGATCACCATGTCCCATCTCCCATCTGGTACTCCTTTCCCTTACTTTCAAGTAACACAGGTACAAATCAATTCATATTTGGTCATATATGGTTTCGTAACACAGGTACGAATCAATTCATATTTGGTCATATATGGTTTTAAACTATTGGCATGATAAACCTGTAGCTTAAGTCTAGTTCCAGATCTTTCAGTTAAGTAATTCACAGCACTAAGTTTCTCCTTCACTACAAAAGGACATTCCCACATTGTTTGGAGCTTACTATTGTTTTCACTGGACTGAGGACCAATACTTGGTTGCCCACTCACAGTGCCCTGCTTTTGCGTCATGGTTATGGACCGCAAATGGTAAGCATTTTATCTATCTCTATGGATTATTTTCCTATGTGTTTCACATTTCTGCATCGCTGGTCTAGTTGTCATCTGCTGGAGAAGTGTGGGTTTTGCTTGCCTCTCTTCTCCTCAACTCAGACTCTTGATGAATTACATCCCTCTCTATCTCCTCCCCACTGCACTCTTCTCTCCTTTAAAATAAGAATGGTAAATGTGATACATTGGCAGTATTATGCATACTGTGCTAGGTAGATGCATTGCTGTTTTGCGATGATGTCACTTGATTTATTTCAAATTAAAAGAAAATTTGGCACAGCCTTTTGAATGATGGCTGTGGGAAAAGATGGGAGGGGGGCACGAACAGGAGTGTCATTAATTGAAAGGGGAACAAATTGGAGTGATCCAAAGGCCTGTCTGGACCCTTCTCAAAAGAAAAGTGTTAGTCAGTGTGAATGGAAAGATTGCTCAAGTGAGAGATAAAATAGATCATACTAAAGATAACGGTTTAAGCAGGAACCAGACCATTCCAAAACACCCCATCTGGACAATCCCTAAATCCTCTGCTTTGATGTTCAAATCCATCATTTACTTTCTCCCATACTCAGATTGTATTAATCTGAAGTTCTTTCCATGAAACCTATGAAATGTATGAATACTGGTACTGTATCAAACCCAAAACAAATGTAATTGTCACCAACTCCCAATTACCATCTTTTTTGTCCTAAAACATTTCATAGACATATCCAGCTTGCTTCTTGATGTCTTGACTTTCTGCCTATAGAGACAGATTTATTTTTTTAGGCAGAATATAATTTGAATATAGATACTTTTCTCTGTATTCTGAAGACATACTGCAACAATCTGAAGTAGTACATGATGTCAAATACTTCTCAACAATGTGTAGATAAGCTTTAAAGCACCAAATGACAGTGCCTTAAAGTGTCATGTGAATTTTGTACTAATCCGTAATCCTGCTCAGTTATTCAAGTATGAAGAAATCCAGAATTGTAGCCTGTGTTTTCCAAAGCGGCAACTCTCGAGGAGTTGCCCCACTGATTCAGAGTTAGGGATGTAGTTAGATGAGTATATTGCTTTTCTCTGTTCTGTTCCTGGCTTACACCCTGTTGCAATGTTCACTTACGATTAAAGCAAGTTATATGCCTTAAGCACATTTCACTATAAGCAGTTCCTTAGTTTCATTTCACTTACTAAGCATACTGAATATCTCAGTCTATATACTACACTGTTAACATCATATAGAAATAATATCTAATCATGGTTAATTTTTTTTAATAAGGGTGATCACATTGCAGTATGGCCACCAGACTGGCTTCCTTTTCTGGCCTACTGTAAATTGGAAAGCCTCTTAGATAAAATTACCTAAATTATACTTCTAGATTTGTAAAGTCCTTGCCGAATAGGAAGGAATGTACTGTACTTTTTAAAATTTTCTTAGAAGCCCTGAATCAATGAAGGCATTGACTATTTTAATTGTATTTTAATTGTTCTATCTTTTTTTATTGTATTTTAATAGTTGTAAGCGCCCAGAGACCATTGGGGAATGTGGGCGGCATATAAGTTAAATAAATAAATAATAAATAGTGTTGGCATGGAATATTTCCCACATATGTTCCATATTAGGAGAGCTTCTAAGTCAGCATCACACCTGTTTATAGCAGGTATCTTGAGACTTCTATGAAATATAGTTTTGCATTTGCAAAATAATAGAAACAAACAAACAAACAAAAAAAGAACAGAGGTTGGTGGGAACTAATTCCTCAGGCCCTTTGTCCTTATGATAACCCATCTCTGAACAATTACTAATTATGCATTAGCCAACTATGTTGAGAGTCAATAATTGATGGCACACACCTCATTACTCTCCTCAAACAACTGACTTGGGGGTACCTGCAAGAAAGTTATTGCTTAGTGGTAGCAAACATGGTTTTGCATGCCCAACGTGAGAGGTTCAGTGTCTTCAGAAAGGCCTTGGAAATAAGGAGCAGATTGTCAGTCAGTAAAGGAATTAAAAGCCAGTTGTTATATCAACCTGGAAAAGACCCTGTGCTGAAATTATGTGAAAAAATATTGCTACTGTCTCATTAATGCCCAAAATGTGTTATTTGGGCACTGCAGAACAATCTGCTAAATCCAACCATCACAAAAGCTCTCAGCTCCAGCATCTCTCTCTCTCTGTCTGTCTGCTTAAAATTTGCACACTTTGTACAAAGTGCTGTAGCATCTTTGCTATTTGGAAGCAGAACTGCTAGCGATACAGCTCATAGCCACTGGCGTAGACATGGACAGAACTGAGACTTTGGGATAACTTCACAGATCAAGGAGAGAGTGAAACAACCACGTCCACTTCTAGCCCACAATCTCTTAGGAAAGAGAGGGAGTTATAATGAGTTACAAGTTCATTAAATAAGAATCTGTTCATCCATCGCATCAGAGTGTGCCTTTATGTTCAAGTCAATAAGATCTTTTTAATGTCTCCATGCCCATGGAGGGCTTGGGGACACACATAATGGTGATGGGGTTTGAAGTAACTAGGAACAAATTACTTGTTAATTATAATTACTTCCTTTTCCCAATAACAAAAGGATAACTATATTACAGAATGCTATTGGTGTTCAGATAAGGCTTCTATAACTTGCTGCAATTAATTGAGGCTGATAGGTGTCAAGGTGCATTGGGTTGTGCAACCAGGTACATGACCAGGCATGCCATTGAGCTGCTCCTCAGCGATTAACTGCAGTTTGCTGTGGCAGGTTATGCAAAACTTACACAATACCACTAGGATTTTGGCCAACAGTAAAGCAAAAGCAAAGCTTTTACATACAGTGTATGTATCCAGCTTCACCTAGGTGACAAATCAATTATTTCCACTATTCCCGAACTTAGGGTCCTGCCATTTTTCCTCTCCTAACTCAACAGTGGTTTTTTTTTTCTCACATTGATCTTTTTCACTCCCTCCAAGAAGTCATACAGGCCAGCACTTGTAGCATTATTCACTGCCCCTGACACAGATATATAATAATGATTGTGTGCTGACTCCAGCTTATGGTGACCCTTCTAAATATAAAGGACTCAGAAGCAGTTTACAAGTCCCTTCTTCTTGTGGGGTCATGCAGCTTGCCTAGGTCTGCACAAATGGCAGGGCATATTAGCCCATTAGCTACACTTGCTCTGATTAATCTCAATTGGCTCTTCTTCCAGGAGTATAAACTCCCCAACCCCGATTCTGCAGTATGGCGCTCCAGCCCAATGAGGCCTACGAGCTCTACACAGAAATAGAGGTCCCTATTTACAAGTTTGGGGATATTGATTTCAAAATGACCCATTATCCCAGTCAGGAGAATTACTTTCAGCCTCTGTTTATTTGTTTGCCTCATCAGTTATCATTTATTAATGATATAGGCCAGTTTCTGGGACAAACCAGCCAACATTCTCTTTCCCTCACCATGACCTAGAAGTAGAAAGGGAATATAGCAGCCACCAACAAACATAGTGGAGAACGTTAAAAGCATATGCCATAGAATGGGCCTCTCTTTTAAGGCAGGTTGGTAAAGGTGTTGTGAAGTGCAGGGCAAGATGATAAATGTCACAGAATTTGGCCCCAAAAGGATTTCAGAATAATTGCAATCTGTAGTGATGAACAACATGCAACTCTCCAGATGTTGTTGGTTTGCAAATCCCAGGATACATAGGCAGCATAGCCAGTGCTGAGGGATGATGGGAATTGTAGTCCAGCAGTAACTGAAGAGGCCCATATTTGCCCATCTTTATTTTTGGAAAACCACTGAGGCTGGTAAAGGCCAAGGTACATTTGGTAGTGCCACCACTATCCAAACAGAGACAATAAATATTTGTTGCACTTTTTATGCACAATACAATTTCAGCACACACTACAGGAGGCAGAGTGAAAGCTCAAATATGCTAAACTGGAAGGGCACATTCTGCATCAGTTCCCTTACCTTTTGTATCCAAGTTAAAAGACATTTCTGGTGAGCAATCAAGTTTTTGCAGTCACAGAAGTGCAGCAGAGCGTCACGGCCCATCTCATCTCCTTCCCGACAGATAAAACATTCTTTTGACTCTAATTAAAAAGATTAATAAAGTAAGAGAACACATCAGGTTTGCATCAATCAACTGCCCATGTGGTTCTTATTATTGTAATTAAAAGTTATCTCCTCAAAATTGTTGGATGAAAGTGCCATGATCTGCAATTGAAAACACATTGAAGGGAGTTTTCCCAACTTATTCTATTTTAAACAGTCAGACTGGAGCAATGCTCTGGAGATAATAGGCTCAAAAGGGTCCTTAGAGGCAAAATGTCAGCAACCATATATTTATGCCCTCTGAAAAGCCCCTTATAAAAATGTGCATTGTGCATCTTTCTGATTTTGTTTTTTTAAAATAGCTGTAAAAGGGAGGGGGGACCCGCAATATCAACCAAATCCCCTTGAAACATACAACTACAAATGATACTCTTACTATCCATTCATTAAGTCACTTGAAATATCTCAATCCTAGTGCATTTCGCTATTCCTCTGGGAAATCTTGTGTGGGTTTGAATAAAGGACTTAGAAAGCCTCGGGCTGGAATCCCTCTTGCCTTGGATGGATGCAAAAGTTCCTGCTCTGAGGCAGAAAAACATATTGGCTGCATTTGGATGATGAGACTTCATCTTAACAGATTATTTAGTTATTCTTTTTTTAAAAATATATATATATTATTTATCTGTTACATTTATAGCCTATCATTTCTTTAAAGAGCTCAAGGTTGAGTACCTGCTGCCCCTTTCCATTTTTATCATCACAACAATCCGGTGAAGAAAGTTAGGGTGAAGGACAGGAATCAGCCTGAGTTTCATGACCAAGCTGTGATTTGAACCCAGGTCTTTTCTGTTGGAGTCCAACACCCTAGCCCAGTAAATCCATGCTGAGTCTCGGAGATATGAAGACACCTCATGCAGTCATTTTACTTCTCTTTTCACATGAGCAAAGAGACTGCAGTGAATAAAAGCATTCCGTTATATTCAGAATGGGTCTAGTTAATGGCTTCCAAACAAGCCAGGATAGAGAAGCTAACTTCAGTCATGTTTCTCACATATAATGAAAAGCTATACTTAATGGCAGCTTCCTGGCAAGTATCCTATTCATGCAAAGGAAGAAGCAAAGCAGCTACATCTGGGTGCAGGGGGAAAAATCTTATTTTTGACTTATTAGACTGTTGTTTTATAGCCTGAATGTGCCAATCTGTGACAACAACATTTCTCATTCCTTCTTTTGGTTTGGCCCAAGAAATTCCAGCTCTTCGGGAGAAAAATCCACACCTCTTCTCTGCCAAAGACAGTTATTATTTTATAAAAATCAATAGCATTGCATAACCAATTATTTTGACATGATATAAAGCCCTCAGTCCACCTCACTTTACTTCAGGCCTTTTTAGTCTATGAATCACCACCATGCTAAACAAGGCTATGCTCTAATCTCAAAAGTGAATAAATAGTCTACAGCTCCCAGAATCCACCAGCCAGCATGGCCACCAGCAATGCTGGTTGGAGGATTTTGAGTACTGATTGAAAAAAATAATAATCATAATAACATTGTTAACATTACTGATAGTGAATACAGACTCCTGCTGCATCTGCCGTTTTGCAGCGATATCATTCTGCCTAATGGTACGGACAGTCTTCGTTGGACACAGGATATCTTCCAGCTGGGACTAGGAGTTAGCTACAAATGAAGCAAGCAGCTTCCTAACTAAAATTTAATCACTCCCTCCATGTCAAATTCATGTACCTCACAGGCTGGAAAATTCCTCTTTTGAGATACAGTTCCCAGAAGCAGATCTTGTGGGAGTTACAGAGTAGGTCTCCTTTTGTCCATTCTGAAGGCATAAATGAGAATCCCCCCTATACACTGGTACTGTATTGCTACCACCACCTTCCTTACTTGCCCACCATAATTTCAGCACAGCTTACCCTGCTACAGATGAAAGATTGACTTTGATAATGCTAGAGATGACTTTAACCATGTACAGTATATGACTGATACCATCAATGTAGGATTTTTGCTCTTCTCATAGAAATATTGGGAATTTGTCTCTTTCCCCACATAGTGTTCTACAATTTCACCACAACTTCTCATAAGCACTTGAAGCACTAGGCCAAAATCATAACAGAGAGAAGTTCCCTCATCCCCCCTTAAGGAGTTGCTTCAAGGCCTCAGTCCTGCTTTGGAAACATCCTACCTGTCACACACCCAGCTCACAGAGCAGGAGTAGCACCTAATAGTGGATTGTGCCATTTATACCGCCTTTATCAACATTTTCATAGAATCATAGAAAAGTGAAGTTGGAAGGTATCTACATGGCCATCAAGTCCAACCCTCTGCTCAGTGCAGGAATACAATCAAAGCATATCTGCCAGGCGATTCTCTAAGTTTTTCTCAAATGCCTCCAGTGTTGGAGCACTCTCCAACTCCCAAGGTAACTGGTTCCACTGTCGTATTGCTCTAACAGTTAAGACATTTTTCCTGATATTCAACTGAAATTTGGCTTCCTTTAACTTGAGTCCATTGTTGTATGTCCTGCACTCTGAGATGATCGAGAAAAGATCTTGCCCCTCCTCTGTATGATAGCCTTTCAAATATTTGAAAAGTCCTATCATATCACTCCTCAGTGTTCTTTTCTCAAGGCTAAACATGCCCAATTCTTTCAGCCTTTCCTCATAAGGCTTAGTTTCCAACCCCCTGATCATCCTTGTCACCCTCCTCTGAACTTGTTCCAATTTGTTAGCTTCCTTCTTGAAGTATGATGTCCAGAACTGGACACAACACTCAAGGCGAGGACTAACCAGTGATAAATGGAGGTGGACTAGCACCTCATGGTGCACCGACTAGATAGGCGGGATATTAAATAAATAAATAAATAAATAAATAAATATACTTCTATTAATGCAGCCTAAAATATCATTTGCCTTTTTTATAGTCACATCACACTGTTGTCTCATATTTAGCTTGTGATCTACAACAATTCCAAGATCCTTCTTGCTCGTAGTTTTGCTGAGCCAGGGATCCTCCACCTTGGAACTGTGCAATTGGTTTCTTTTTTCGAGGTGCAGTACTTTGCACTTATCCCTGATGAATTTCATTCTGTTGTTTTCGGCCCAGTGCTCCATCCTATCAAGGTCATTTTGAATTTTCTTTCTGTCTTCTAGTGTATTAGCTATTCTGCCCAATTTTATATCATCTACAAATTTGACAAACATTCCCTGCACTCCCTCATCCAAGTAATTAATAAAAATATTGAAGAGCACTGGTCCCAGGACTCAGCCTTGGTGTACACCACTTGTTACCTCCTCCCATTTAGAGAAGGACCCATTAATCATCACCCTCTGAGTATGATTCTGTAGCCAATTGTGTATCACCTGAAACTTGATCTATCCAGCTCACACCTAGTTAGCTTCCTAATCAGGATATCATGGGGCATTTTGTCAAAAGCTTTGCTGAAGTCAAGATATATGGTACTATGTCTATACCTCCCTCTGTCTATCAGGGAGGTGACACAATCAAAAAACAAGATCAAATTAGTTTGGCAGGATTTGTTCCTGACAAATCTGTGTTGGCTTCTAGTTATTACTGCATTGTTTTCTAGGTGCTTTACGATCCGTTCCAGAGTTTTCCCTGGGACTGATGTCAGGCTGACTGGCCTGTAGTTCCCAGGTTCATCTTTTTTTTTTTGCCATTTTTGAAAATAGGGACAACATTGGCCCTCCTCCAGTCCTCTGGCACCTCACCCGTTTCCCATGATTTCAAGAAAATGATGGGTAGTGGTTCTGAGAGTTCTTCAGCCAGTTCCTTCAGTACACTCAGATACAGTTCATCTGGCCATGGAGATTTGAACTCGTTCAAGGTGGTAAGGCATTCCTTGACTATTTATCAATCTCCAGCTGCAGTCCTGTCCCCTTTTAAAGTACTCAGCTGGATTATGACATCAGTTCAGCAGCCCAATTGTCTGACCTTATCCTTACTTTTCCTGCCACATTCTATACTTCAAGCATTCTCAAAACCCAATTTCTACCACTTCTTCTAAGTTGCAAGAAGGACAACTATGGAATTGGCCTCGGAGGATGCATTTAATCACAGATCAACTTTCCATCTCTTTACTTTTAAACCAGCAGCACAAATGTGCACTTGTTCACCCTTATTAGCCACAAATGAAATAAAATACCTTGCTATAGATCTTTGGGGAAAACCCAGTTGGTTGATCCGAGTATCGTAGGAAGGCTATTAACTTCTGCAGAGAGGGTGAAAGATGTTTATAATGTAGTTGAAATAAGTATGTCATGTCAGATAACATTTTTACAATTATAAGTATTAACTGTGAGAGGTAGGTGTACATTTGAGCTCTAGCAGTTACTTTGTGGGTGAGGCCTAGCACTGCAAGCTTCCCAGTTGTCAGTGAAACGCTTACTGTTATCAAAGAAACAGTTCTAGGTCTCCTTAGGTTCACTGTTCATCCTATTCAGCTTCCCAGAGGCGCCTGAATAGGCGCTGTTGGGAACAGAAAGCCATATTACACTAAATGGATTTCAACATGATGTAGCAAGATGCTTCTGAAAATACAGTACAGCCTGCCATTTACATAGTGACAGAAAAGGAGGAAGAAACCATCACCACCACAATCCTATATTTGCACACAGAACTATCACTTATTGTTGCTAGCATTTTATTTACAAAGCTACATGTTTTCAGCAATGAATGCAGGAGAAATAAGAGTAATGAGGCCAGGTGTCTGATAAAGAAAGCTTGTTACGGCGTAATATATATGACAAATTGTTCAAGAACAGTTAAATGTGACCCATCTATGGCTTCAATAGCTTCACTGTTTATGGTACACTGCTGAGTAAGCCCTCAGTATGCAAATGCAAACTGCCGTGGGATACAGAGCTTTTCACCTGGATTTAGGATTTGCCAAATTCCTTAAAAACATAGACAAAGACACACACAGAAACGGGTTGAGAATTAAAGAGGTGGCACACTTGACTTTCTTGTTTTGTCTTTGCTCTGCTTCATTCAAAAGGTTGCGGCC